TAAATTTACCGAACCATACCCTACACTGAGTGCAAAGCTCATTTTGACGTCAAAATTAATTTAATTTTTTTGTCCCTTTCATGCATCCATATACAAGAGTTTAATCTCCGTTACGAGGGGCAGCGATGTATGATTGAAGTCACAATGGCTTCTTTTAGTTTCAATAATGACCGCACGAGAGCTAAGCTGTTACGAATTTCAGCAGCTAAATTAATTGCCCACCAAATGCTTAATTTCTCATCTGGTAGGATTCGTTAATTACTCATTTATTAAAACGGTATTTAAACTCCATACACATATGAAGCCGATTTATATGGATATTCCTCTCTGAGTGAAGAGCGTAGTTGAAGGAATTTGGGAACCAACTGCTGAGAACATTATGACTTAAGAAGAAAACAGAGAAAAATAAACAATGGAAAACATCACAATGTATATTCTTTAAGAAATATTAAAGTGGTACAATTGAGGACAAAATAGGAAGGTCATTTACGACTTAAGAAATATTACACTGAATTTAGTTGGAACGAAAGGGCCGAGCCATAGCTCAAGCCGTTAGTCACTGGCTTCCCACTACGGCGGCCCGGGTTCGATCCCGGGTCTGGGCAAGTGGGATTTGTGGTGGAAAAGTTGCGCTGGGGCGGGATTTCTCCGAGTATTTCGGTTTCCCCTGCCAATCTTCATTCCACCAAATTCTCTATCATCATAATCACCCGGGGGAGGTACAATAGGCCAATCAGCGGCCGACGTGCCGAATGGACCCAGCTGGGCTCCACCCCCCATTAAGCGAATATGTGGAAAAACTATACGGAAATAATCACCATTGTGATATCAGTGTAGCCTATAGAAAGCCGGAATAGCGTAGTTGGTACAGCAACCGGCTACGGGCTGGACGACCAAAGGGGTCAGAGTTCGAGTCCCGTTGGGAGCAAAAATTTTCTTTTTTTCAATCATGTCTTCCAGACCGGCTATGGGGCTCACCCAGCCTTCTACCCAATGGATCCCGGGGATAAGGCAGCCGGGACGTGAATATGACCACTCACCTCCAACTAGTGCTGAGGTCAAGAAAATGTAGATCTATACATCCACTCCCCAACACGTGTTCATGGCGAAGTGCTTAATTAGTTAAGCACAGCGACAACTTTACCTTTTACATACAGGACTATAAGGTGTCACAACCCTGAAGGCCACCCTCTGAAGCCTCAAACTAATATAAACTTAAATGTATGAGAACAGGATGCCAAGAAATATATTGGATATAACATACAGGAAGTAACACGAGGTGGGAGAAAGTACCGGCCTATAAGAAAGTGCTATAACTTTGACTCCTCCTCAAATATTGTTATGGTTGTCAAGTCAAGGAATGTAAGACCGCAGGAGATGTTCCAAGTATGAGACAGATGAGAAGTTGATCCAAAATTCTTGTTGGAAATCCTAAAGTGTTAAGACAGCTTGTAATATCAGGAAGTGGTACATATTAAAATGGGTTTCGAAGAAATAGTATATAAAAATCTGGCCTGCAATGATGTACCCCAGAGTGTAGCCTCTTTATGTGCTCCCGTAAACACGGTAATTAAGCCTCCAATTATAAACTACATAAGTCGGGAATTTTTTGATGATTTTAAGTAATGTCACTTTCACAATAACTGCTCTATACGATTTACATTAAACTTTACTAATTCACAAAGGGTTTCTTGAAAAGCTACGAGTAACTGAGGTGCATTTATTTACACATCAAGAAACCAATTTTATTGCTTCTCTCTCATCAAACAGAAGAAGAGCTGCTTACTGTGGTTTACCTCTGCGTCTCTAATCTCTTATAGCGGTATGCTGAATGCTCAGAGAGTCTGTGTCGTTTTGCTAACTCCGGCATACTTTAGACATTGCCCTCAAGTGCGTGGCGTTAAATTGGATTTCGGTTTATTCCCCTTGAACGTGCGTCGCCTGGATACACAACAATGCCTATGTCCTCAATTCACTGTCCACGATGGCAATTCTCAATTCGGATCGTCGCTATAGAGCGGTTAGTGTTGCTCTTTCTTATTCGAGTCTAAAATGTTGGAATATTAGCACGTCACACTGCTATTCTGACAATAATTAATAAGTCACTGTGCATAGGAACAGGAATATTGTATGTCTATGAATATAAAACATTCGTAAGTGCCTCCAAATGTTGTGTGAACTATTTCCTTATAAGCTAACAACTAAAATCATGGACGAAAATTAGGCGAATCCCAAAAAAAAAATCGGAAACACATTTATCCCTAAGAGAAAACTTGCCTTGGAATATGAAAGGTGTTCAGGAAAGCATCTCTCGCATAGAATGCCACCGCACTGAACTTATACTGTATCGTGTTCTATTAAGTAGAGTAATTACTTAAATTCGGCCTACAAACCAAAGGATGCCGCTTGGGAAACCTTCACGATGTCTCGAAGGCGAGTGAAAGGATTCACATTAATATCTTGTACGAGACCTGATACTTAGATTGTCGAGCTGATTCTGTAAATATACACACATGCACATAGGCAGACACGTACATTATATAGCATTATATATATAGCATGTCCGGATGAAAGGTATCCAAAATAAAATCATTATATCTCAGAAATAATTGTCATACACATTAATGAGATACACTATTACAAAGGGAAACTATCAAAGTTTTTTTTCTGCGTATATAAGTTTCTCAATAAATTTAAATGTGGGCTCCCTTGATGGCACGACAAATATCCATACTTGAAGCATGTTTGGTGTTACCTCAGCCACAAAGTCCCTTATGCGGGCTTTCAGGTGTTGAAGGTCGTTGATCTTAACGTGGTAGAAAATGTTTTTCACATATCCCCACAAGAAAAATGCACTGGGGTTAAATCTGGCGACGTAGGAGGCCAAGAGATTGGTCCACCTCTGCCAATTCATATCCCAGTCATCTCTCTGTCCAGGTGATTCCTAACATTGTGGCAGAAATGTGGGGGCGCATGCGCAGAAGCCGGGTATGAAAAAAAAAACTTTCAGAGTTTTCCTCTCCGATGACATAAACCGGATACATGTATGACAATTAGTTTGCGAGATATCATTTTTTTTTATTTTGGATACCTTTAATCCGGACACCCTATATGCATATATAGGCTGTCACTAACCTGTAATGAGTATGGTCACATTAACACGTCTGACCTTATGCAGTGAGAGGGACAAGTATTCACCCTTCAAACCTGCATTTCTCACTCTCCTAACGAGGGCTGGAGTTCAGATTTGAACATATTTCACCCATACAGCGGCTAATGTTCGTAATTTGTGAGGACCAAGGAGAATCAGACGAACGGATAGGCAACTTTCATTGGGGAAACAACAAGAACATAACATTTGACTTATAAATCCAAAATGGGAGACAGGCCACTGTAGGAACACTGCAACCCCTAACATAAGAGCATTAATACGTTCATCCTCTTAATATTATCCCTGTAACAGGCCGCGTGGTTCCGTAAGTTTATGAGACTTCAAAGCTCCCACACTGTCTAGACCAAGGGTCGCCAAACTACGGCCCGCGACCCAAATGCGGCCCGCGACGTAATTTTATCCGGCCCGCAAAAGAACTGTACAGAAATGCGCCAATTGAACTAATTTTCCAACGAGTACTGGTAAATGTGATTCCGAGCTTACTGACCTGACATATTATACTGCAGTTCGATGGCTTAGCTGTGGAAAGGTTCTTTCGCGCTACTTTCAACTCAGGAATGAAACTGATATATTTCTTACCAAAAAAAACCATCACGAACCACTTTTATCAGATACCGAGTTGTTTTTGGAAATTAGCATTTTTTGCTCATATTGTGAACCATATGAACAAGTTGAATTTAAAGTTGCAGGGTGAAAATAACTTAATCTGTGATTTATTTGTACTTATCAAGGCATTCAGAGCAAAGTTGATACTTCTGGAAAGCAAAGTGAAAAATTGTAACTTTGTTCATATGCTATACTGTGCAGAGATGCATAAAAAGGCCGAAGCAGAATTTCCCTCCTCGTTTGCAAATTTAGTCATTTCAGATTTGAAGGAACAATTTCGGAAGCGATTTGCTGACATTGATTCCAGTGCTGAGGAAATCAGATTGTTTCAAAATCCGTTTGACTGTGATGCTGCTGATGTCCCAAGTCAAATTCAAATGAATATTATTGAACTTCAGGAAAATTATATTAAAGACAAATACAAGGAAGGAAATTTTATCGAATTTTATAAATTTCTAAACTCTGAGCAATTTCCAAATTTAAAGAAATTTGCTTGTAAATTTGTCTCCATTTTTGGGACGACATACCTGTGTGAACAAATTTTTTCCCAGATGAAGTACATCAAGTTGAAATACAGGGCAAATTTATCCGATGAACACTTAAAGTCGCTACTTGTGATTAGCTTTTCAACATTTGAACCTCAATTTAATCAGATTTTAAGAATGCAAAAAGAGTTCCATCATTCACATTAATTGTTTTATTATAATTTGTGATGAGAATATGAGCATTTGCTGCTACTGTCTGTTGTCATTAATATACGATAATTTATTCTCACGTACTTTGTATTTAGTTTATGCAATTCTGTGCTTACAATAAAACTCGTATACCTAGGGTTATTAATTTCTCATTTTATCCGGCCCGTTGAAAGTGCTGAATTACCTAATGTGGCCCGTGGTTCGAAAAGTTTGGAGACCCCTGGTCTAGACAATCTGTTCACGGATGAAATTTATAAAACAATGTACATCTCATTTAAAACTGAAATACGCCGAAGTAACTGGGTTAGCAACATTTAAAACGAGGGGGCAGAACACTGAGGCAGTGCGTCATTGTCTAACCAAGTCGAAAAAAAGACATTGCTGCATGATTAGCAGTGTAGAGCATGGCAATCAAATTAAAAGGGAATAGCTCTCGCAACATCACACATTTGTAGCTTTGTCTCTCTCTCTGAGGGACACTCACAGGCCATTCTGTCTCATTTCTAGTATTCTTCCGCTTTACTCACCACACTGCGCAACGCTTTCATCTTTTCCGTCGTAGCAGTCTGGAATGCCGTTGCACAAGGTCCACTTGGGAACACACGTGGAGGCGTCGCAATGGAACACAGCTTCACTGGAATTGCAGGGGACCACGGCGTTGGCAACAGGCACGGGAACACTCCTTACTCCACTGCCGAGAACTGGCTCTGCAAGCAAAGAACCGTCAACTTACGGTCTCTCAAGGGACGCAAGCAAACCGAAACAGAGAGTTGAATTGGACACAAAACATTATGTTTCCTAGTACACATTTCCGTAGAATGGGGCACCCTGGGGTTGTCCAGACATGCATATTACTCGAAATACTGAATAAAGAGCAACGAACTGTAGAAAAACATTGTGTGCTGTGTGAGGACAAGCAACCACTCACCTTAAGGAACAGTACGGTCCGAAATGCATTATAATGTAATGCATTATTTGCTGAATATTAGTGTTTTTTATTGCTAGTGGGGTGGGACTAAGTCCCTTGTACTGCAGCCACTTCTGGGTTATTGTACCAGCCCCAGATGATAGGTGAGGGTGATTGTGGACCAATTGGTAGAATGAAGATTGGCAGGGGAAACCGAAGTACTCGGAGAAAACCTACCCCAGCGCCACATTTTTCCACCACAAATCCCACTTGACCAGAGCCGGGATTGAACCCGGGCCGCCTCGGTGGGGAAGCCAGTGACTAACCGCTTGAGCTATGGCGCGGCCTTAGGTTAGTGTTAGTTTACATTTCTGAAACTTTTATTCTGATCAGGAGTATCTGTGAAATTAAGGTAATGCACGTCGGCGTTAGCTGATTTACTGTTACGTGTACGGTGGTACGCGTGACGAAAATAACGGGTTCAGGTTCGGATGTTTGTATTGGGATTTATTATTGGTTACAATCTCTCAGTCACATTTAATACAGCGCTATCTCTCTTTATGCATTTTATAATTCACTGTTACATACACACTACTCCTCTCCTGGCAACGCAATTAAAACACAGGAACTAGCACTTGAAATCACTCCAAATATTGCACATGAATAAAGTGGTCTAATCACATGAAAAGTTAAACAGTACCGTCTAGTGTGACTGGTGAATCGCCATTTTTCATGATATTATTAGTGTGATGGTCCAGAATGAAACAAATCATCTTCTATCCACACTTCAAGCATTCACGAGTCTTGTACGAACTTCCCGTGGCTGTCACCTACCGAGAACTCAGAACTCTGTCACTGGACATGGAAAACTGTTATATCCATAACTAACATTACACAGCCTCTGCACCTACCATGCATAGAAAACACAATCCTATTGTTGCATAAGGACGACCACACAGAAAACGAGTCACGTGATAGCTACCTCTTCAGTCCATTGGCGCGCTGACTGTTGACCCATCACCTCCAGCTAATGTCGAGGTCAGGAAAATGTGGACCTATATATCCACTCCCCCATACGCCTTCATGGAGTAGTGCTTAATTAGTTAAGCACAGGGTCAACTTTATCTTTTCCTTGCCTATTGCTGAGGGCGCTTAAGCGAGGTGTTTATCGCGCCGTTGCCTGGCGCGATAATAATAATAATAATAATAATAATATTTATAGTATCCCTGCTAACACAACATTGTTTCAGCAGGTAGATTTTGCTGACCAGGACGATAGGTTTCGGCACTTACGTACCATTTTCAGGTTCCCATTTTAGTTAAAACTATTCTATCGTATCCTTGGCCTTAGTTAATTTTGTGCTTGAATTTACATAACATCAATATAACTAAAATTATTGTGTTTCTAGACATTATCGATCGTCTTGCTTTTATTTAAAAAACACAATATTTCGGAGACCGGTTTTTGCCTCCGCCTTCAGGTGAAATCTACTCAGTTTGGCTCAATCGATAGAACTATTTCCTATCTCCGGACATCAGCACCAAACACAAGATAGGATATATAAACAAAGCACAGCATAAACCAACTGCGAGAGTTAAGACAAACATTGAAAACACTAACGAAAACTCCACATACGAGTCGAAGTACCTACGTCATTGCATTATTTCACGGATATTATTGTTAAAATCAGAGTACTATCAGAATAGAAGTCCTCACTAAAGAGAGAAATCTCCGTATAGGAACACAACTTTCACTCATAGTCTACACTGCATGGAGCTGCAGTTTCTTAACTTCTGCTGTGATAACGGGAGTTCAAATGGGAGAGATCTCCAAGCTGGGTTGACTGATCGGACGGTCTCCCAGAGACATGTGGGAGGACTCCCTGTATTTCCTGTAGGTCTCGTTCGGTTCAATCTGCAAGAAACTCGTTTCCTTCCATCATAATTTGGGGCCTTCTTCGTATCCATGTTAGGCTAATTTTCATTTTCCAAGCACACTGTCGGGTTATATTTGTGCTCCTTACTGTGACTTCTAAACGTCTACTTGTTTTGCTGATGTATCATCTGTAACACTCACATGGGGTATTGTACAGACACTTCGTGTGAATGGCATCTCTAACTGGTCCTGTTTTCATCACAGTCCCACGCAGTATAATTTAGTTTTGAAAACTGTCCTGAAACTGAAATTATTTCCAATGCGTGTGAATATCTCGGATATATCCTTCATATCAAAATTAGCACATATGGTTGTTGAGATAACGTTAAGGGTACATCCGAAATAATTTTCTTAATTCTGGCAGATGATTTATGCTCTGCTTGGTTCATATACCCTGTCCTGTGGTGTCCATGGTACCCTGAGATAAGGACTAAATTCATCGATTGGGATCAGCTGAGTAGGCTTTTACCTGAGGTCGGAGAGAGAATCCTGTCACCGAAACATTAAGTAAAAAATAACAGAACACTGTATAATGTCCAGAAATATTAATTTCATTAATACAGTTCATCACAAACGTTCAGATCTTACACCGATATCGGAATGATAAAATGGCGCGAGGCCGCATGATGTAAGGAAGTGAAGATGCAGTGGATTTGGGAGTAGATGACGANTTTATTATACTGCAATTGGGTTTTAGCCCGGTGGCAGTAGTACACAATAGGACACAACAGACAAGTAACACACATTACACTAAGTGACAACACGTTCAAACAAAACACAATACACAAAACACAACAATAAGGACATCCTACCACAGTGAATACAAACCAAATACGATTAACAACTACAGTGGATTTGGGAGTAGATGACGGGATAACACGAGTATATTATTAAAGTGGATTCTGAAGGAAATGTCTGTGAAAGTGTGGTTTGGATTCAGCTGCCTAAGAAGAAAGTTCAGCTGAATGGTAGGAAATTGTGGACTCAGTGATGGACATTCACATTCTATAAAAAGAACTAAATTTCTTGACAACATGAGCAACTGTCAGCTCCTTAAAAGCTCTGTTACGTGCAGTTTGCTTGCATCACGAAAGGTCGACAAGGTGTGGCTATAGACGATGGGTGTGCCCCTTTTGGTTTGACAGCTGGCCTTATGACTGTAAGCACATGATCGTAAAATGTGATGGAACGAAACTTTCACATAGTCCTGAAATTGGCTGGATCATTTGGTTCACGTTTGAAGCTCGAAAAGGGGTCAGAGGTGGATGGAAGTGTCTGACGTCACTGTATTGCTCGCAGAGGTACCATATCTTTGGATTCAGATGGTAGCGCTAGTTAACTATTTCAATAATATCAATACTGTCGATTTACAAAATTTATGGGTGATGAAGCAAACATACGGAGTCACCAAAACACGCTTCACCACGATTAGAAGACGTAGGCCTAACCTGCAGTACGTAGAACACAAACACAAAAAATATAGGATTTTTATCCACATGAATATGCAATCATAGAGGATGCAACATCAATACTACTGAGCAACAGGATCACCTGGATCGATTCCTCGCTGTCGTAAATGGTGAATAGAGTGTGTGCACAATAACAGAAATTATCAGAACAATTTCACTGATGTGTATACGACCACATATAAAGACATGTGAACGCATGCACATGTATGTTAACAAAATGATTAGCAGTTTGAAAATGTCACATTAAATGCTCGTTCAGCCTATTATATATGTATGTGTGTTTATGTACGGTTATATCTCTGGTCTATATTTAACTTTCTGGCCTATTATCTGATCTGGAACTTCCATGGTTATAGAGCGAGAAAATTAGTTCTCATAATATTCTCAATAAATACGTTTAAGCTAATTTGGATTAGGCAGAGTGGATTATATTGTCACGTATAAGCGGGGTTTGGATTGGAGTTATCGATCACTTCAACATATGATTCGTTATTACAATTAATTACAAGGCCATCGTTATCCTCACGAGTTCAAAAATCACTCCAGCACACGCTAAGTCTTTTCAGTGTGCTGTGTCTTCACCAGCCGTTCCCTGGTAACGGCTTCTAACAGTACAGATTCTTCATGTTTTACTCTCACTTCTTTGCCCGCTGGCTCTGAACTGCGCGGACTAAGTATTCTCTTCACAGACTCCCTCACAACTAAGTGCAGGCCTGGCGTCCATCTCACCTCCTAGTCTTCGCTTCACGGTCTCCTTTACAACTTTACAACACGCTACAACATGAAGGTAACAATTTCACATGGAAATCCAATCAAGCAGAAGTGTGTAGGTTGTTGTGTGACATTATATCGACTTCTGGGATTTTAACGTTATTACATCGTTAATAATTACATAGCAGATTATCCGATTATAAATCCAAACCCTGTCCATAATCACTCGCTCATGTGATAATATTTTGATGGCTAACGGTGTCCTTGCACACGAATGTGTTCATATCTCAGCAACAGGTTGACTGAGTAACAGCTCGTTTTTCAGAGTTAAATTTTGAAGGCAGAACAGCCACAAAGAGATTTATAAGTTATTGGTCAGACCGACTTTCTGGGTCAAGCGTCTGACGTTCTTCCCGCGCTCGTATGCGAAAGAGGTTCGGAATATAGGGGCAACTACAAGGGTCAGTCTCACTTATTTCGGAAGATGGGTACATCTTTTGTTGCCTCTGAAGACGATGCTTTTAAGGTAAAATGCGGAAGTTCCATAGCGCAGACATAAATAGAATGATGATCTCGAATGGTGCATAGGAAGCCAGGTCATTACCTATTCCTGATACTGGCCTGGGGACTGAGGAAATTCATCAAGACCGTAGTTAAATTAGCCGTTGTTCTGGCAGAGATTGT